AAGGCAGCGGTTTAACCGACTGAGCCACCCAGGCGCCCCTGGAGAAGTTTTAAAAGTACATATGAAACAACTTTTTGTGCATATTCTAAACTAGTTCCTCTGCCACACTTAAAAAAGAGTTGAATCACATCAGCACATGAACAGAAGAACCCGGTAAGTCAGCTCTGGGGTGGAAGCAGCCTTTGATTTCATGTACATACGATAAAACTACTCATGAATCCATAAATATTCAATACCATTACTTAAAGAGAACTGGCTTCACGGGCTCATAGTATTTCCAAATTGCTATGTCCAGAACACAAATTCCAAGTGAATTTATCCAGTTAAATCTTAGCAACAAAATGTAAGCTAATTTTTTTCACCCAGAACCAGACAAAGCTATGTATGAAAGAAGTCCTACTATAATGAACGCACAAAGAATAATCGGTGATTGATAGTAATGGTGCTTTGCCTATCCTGTTTATAAACTAATTTTACGCACGTGAATTTTGGCAATGCATTCAGTCTCCAGTAATGCCCTCTTACAAAAGCATACACAAAAGCAAAAAAAGGTGGCTATGGGAGGTTGTAGCAATTACCCATCAACTTCCCAACTTGCCTCAAAAATACCAGGTGCCAGGGTGCCTGGGTGGCTCAGTCAACTGAGTGTCCAACTCTTGATTTCGACTCCGGTCATGATCTCAGGATTGTGAGACTGAGCCGAGGTCTTTGCGACGGGCTTCACACTCTGGAGGGAGTCTGCTTGAGATTCTCTCCCTCTCCCTCTACCCCTCCCCACACTCTCTAAAATAAATACATCTTAAAAAAACAAAACAAAACCAGATGCCAACCTCTGCCCCCTCGTCCTTTCTTTGTGCTCCTTGTACCCCAATATCCCTGAAAGAGATGACCCACTCTAATGCCTATTGTAGGATCTAGGGAAAAGGAAAAAACTAAAGGTTGTCTTTCCCCTCACTGGGTTCAAAGTACTTTTTCACTTGGTGCTATTACTAAGCTTTCCAGCAACTGGTTTTCAGTTAATGTTAATCCATAGCTTTTAAATACAAATATAAAATTTTAAAGACGAGCTCAAAATATACCACTGCAAAAATAGGAGGTCTCCTTCAAAAGGTGAAACTCATTTACGAAGTAAATTGTTTGCCAATCCATAACACCTTGGAAGACATCTGTGCCTCGAATATCTGATGGTTCATCCCGGGGCCTCGGCTACACTGCTATTAGCTTTGGGGACAGAAAGCAGAAGGACAGGCTTGGAGAATGAGCTCTGGCCTAGTGAACGCACCTTTGGGGCTTCCTCTGAACTACTTACTTTACAGGGTTCTGTGGATAAGGTTCAGGGTTTCTCAAACTGTACCTAAAGCGTTAGGCCTGTTTGATCATGATGGGTACTTTCCTGGAATGAGGGCCCATAGCTTTCATTAGGTTCTCAAAAGAGGATCCTGACCCAGATGCACTTCAGAACCTCTGTTCTGCCCTGAGCTTTGAGACTCGGGTGAAACGCACACCAGGTGACACCACACATTTACCTGAAACTCTTGTTCCAGTTTCTTCTCTATCCAGTCTGTCACATGAACTAAAGTCACTTCTCTTTCTCCAAGTTTTGGCCGAGCTTTCAGCTCTACATATGGTGGCTTCCGGAAACCATACCTTTTTGAAGAAGACAAGTAGTAAACAACTACATTTAAATGCAAAGAGAGGAAGTAGACAAGTACCAACAGCAAACACTGTTCATCTCCTCAGGGCTTCATCCCTACGTAAATGTTCTTACTCTGAAAATCCCCTCTAAAAATGATTCAAGGCAGCAAACAAGAATTGTGAGCTCCTACGTCCCTGGACTATGTGTAGGGCTGTGATGATGTGAGAACAGTTCTGACAAGCTGGGAAATTTAGAAAGCACCACTGGCAAAGTCTGACCTGGGCGTTGTTTTCTGGTTTTTTGTTTTTCCTGAAATGGCAAGGATCTTTCTTGTTGCTATTTTAATAAAGGTAGCATATGTACATTACAAACCCTCAAAAATACATGTGTACAAAGCAGAATGTGAAAGATACTGCCTCTCTCTGAATCTTACCCCCAAGACAGGACTACTGAGAGAAGCAGGGTCAATTTTCCCCACACTCCTAATATGTATATGTAAATAGAGAACGTTCTAGAACCTGCTTTTTCATTCCATCCCGCACAGCATGTTTATTAAGGCTTCCCAGTGGAGCAGACTGGCATTCAAAACTGTTGGTAAAGGATCTAGACAAGAGACTGTGTGCTATCAAATTACCTAAAAACTTCCATTTGTCATGGATCAATGTTTTAAAAATTACAACGAAAATGTCAAATTGCTATAAGCATTTCTAAACACTCTCAAGATCTACACTTAACTTCATGGATTCATAACAAATGCCCTGGGTAGTACTCCCCCAGAAGCCTTGTGTCACCTGTAACTGATACATCTTAAAGCATGAAAGTGAAGAAATGAATCATTAATCTTACTATTAAAAATTTTTTTCTTGTTAGGTTTGGAAGACTGTACAGTAAGATATTAATGGTGGTTATTTGTGGGCGGTAAGATTAGAGGCTTTTTTTCCCCTCCACTTTTTTTCATTTGTTCCCATTTTTTTTTTTTACAATGAAAATATTACTCTCTAAAAATAAAATCTAAAAAGGTATTTTAAAGTTTTTACTGGGAAACACTGGTATCATCATCAAATGGTTATCCAATACAAAAACTGTCTTCTGATGGTTCTCATAAGCCCTTCTAAATGCCAGGGGTATGCACCAGCATGATAGTTTCACTCTGGGATAGAATAGAGCTATCTTTTTTCATGCCAACGTAGTTTCTGGTACAATGAAGTTTCCTGCAATCACTGTATACACTTGTATACATTTTAAACGATCTGGAATGACAATTTTAAACTGCAGTTCACAGATAGTGATTTTCCTCTGCTGGACCCATGAATAATAGGTTATTCCAGTGGTTCTCAATCTTGGCTTAGTCCCCCGTGTCCTGGATCCTGGGGGCTGGGTACATCTTTGTTTTTAACAAGTCCCCAGGTGACTGTGATATGCAGATAGGGTTGAGAACCACTGGTTCATTCAATGACAACTCCTTGGGTAGACCTTCTACCACAATTACCAAGTACATGGGCTCTGCCTCCTTAACATTTAGGTCTAACCCGGGGAGTCTTCCCTAAGTACCTCGGGCTCTGCCGGATGCATGATCCCCCTCCGTAAAGTGGAGTAACAGTGGTACCTATCTCCGCAGGATGCTGTGAGGACTGACCAGATGAAGCAGCTACACCCCAGGCCAGGCAGAGAGTAAGAGCTCTACAGAGGGTGGCTCTTCTAACTGGGGGAAAGAGCTGGCTTTGAAGGGGAGGAAGACCAAGAAGAGATACATGTGAAGATGAAGCTTTCAATGTGAATTAACCATTCACAGAAAAAAGCAGAACTGGATTTGCAACGGACATGAAGGTTCCCTGAAGAACATTTGACAGTGCTTCTGCCCAGGAGAAGGTACTTCTCCATAATGGCGGGGGTAGGCAGGCTGGGATACGGATGGTCCCGCGAGAGGTTATACACACCATATTCGGTCAGTCGGAGGGGGTGGAATGTTGACCGCCAGGGTTCCTCGGCATTCTTGTACTTCTACGGTCAGCAGCAGGGGTGTATTGGAGACTTCTTCAATCTTCTTTTTAATGAACTCTGTCTCTGTTGCTTTTTGGAAGTATTTTGACTTGGTAATTTTATCGACAAACCTCATAATCTTACTCGTTCGATGACCTCCAACATACCTTTAAATGAGGCACACAGGTGTTAGTATAAACTTTGCTCCTCCACACACAAAAACTCTGTGGCTCAGCGTTCACCTTACTTTAGACCGGAGTTTCTCAACCGAAGCACCACCGACATTTTGGACGGGCTAATTCTTTGGGGTCGGGGCTGCCCTCTGTACTCCTGTAGGTGGTTTAGCAGCATCCCTGGCCTCAACCGTCTAGGCGTCAATAGCATGCTTCCCCCAGTCACGATAATAAAAAATGTCTCCAGACATTGCTCAGTGTCCACTGGGGGAGGGGGGGGGCAAAATCACCTCCAACTGAGAAACTACTACTTTAGAGAAGGTGTAGAGATCAGACAGAGCCCAGGTCTTGACCAGTGGAGAGACAAAGTTCTCACAGTGCAGAGAAGGCATCTCACCTGTCCTTCTTAATACACCTCAACTACTGCTTATAAATCCTGTGTCCTCCTAGAGAAACCTCCCCATCTCTACACATCAAATAAGAAATCATGCTGCATCGACAGGGACATAAAATACAGTCGTTAACGGACTGCCTTTTAGGTGACGTCATATCAACTTTAAGTGGCAACTACTTTTCAAAGCGCTTAGAGCTTCCTTCTAAAGAAAACTGCTAATCAAGCTGGCAGGCTAGCAGGCCAAGAAAGCAAGCTTTTCTATCAGGTCCTATCTACCATAAGACTGCCCTAGGAAGAGAGGATATTTGCTTTTTAAAATCCTCCAGAGTTTCAGAGTGTCAGGAATAGTATGTGTATGTGTGTAGGGAAAAGCAGTCATTCCTAAGAAGGTCAAGAGGGTAGATTTCAAATAACACCCACAAACTTTAGGATCAACTCCTCAAATGTCTGGATTCTCTCCACCTTCTGTCGGGTTTCAAAAGTGAATAGGCTGATATTTTCTTACCAGTGCTTCTGAATCTCTGGTTTCTTTATAATCTTCGTCTCTTCAACTCACTTTAAATAACTAAAAGATCCTTACAGAGAAGCTGTGTAAATACTCTGATTATGCCATAGTCTAAGTAACAGGCAAAGGGAGCCCTGAAAATGAAATTCATGATCCAAAAGATCAGCTAAGTGACCCACATCTTCAAAACACACCAAAGAAATGCCCGGAGCTCAACAGAAGGGCGACCGGACCGAGGGGGCACAGTGCCCTCCGCCGACAGCAGGGGGAGGTGTTGCGCACGCTGTGCCACAAGTGCGCCCCTCAGTTCTCTATTCAGAATTTTCTTACATGCAAGTGATGAATCACTAAATTCTACCCCTGAAACTAATAATACAATATATGCTAACTAACTTGAATTTAAATAAAATCTTTAGAAAATAATACTTTTCTTCAGTGGCCTGAGAAAGCCATTCTGATGGGGGACCTTGTTAGCTAAGGAAAGCTATGCGGGTCTTTTTTGCTCTGGGGCCTGGAAGTTTAAGCCACTTTGGGTTCTTAATGCAAAAACCATTCACTCAGTGTGAAGGAGGAAGAAAGATTATCAGGAACGGGGGGGTAGGGGGTGGGGGGGGAAGCTCACTCCCAACTTGGTACCCTGACCCCTGGAGCCTCTGGAAACCGGATCCACTTACCCTTCGGCCCCCGGGAGAGGTGGTTTGTCTCCGGCGCTGGGCTCTGGAGCATCATCCTCCTCAGAGGAGCCAGCACTGGAGGACTCCTCATCGCTGTCCGCCAGACAGTACGCCCTGGGCCTGCAACTGATCAGGGCAGAGTCACCACCGTAGCCTGCCCTTCAGGCTCTGCTTAGAAAGAGAACACACATGCTCCACCAGCACCACCACTAACATGTCCTCACTCTGCCCACCCCGCCCAGGAAAGAAGGGGCCCAATCCAAGAGTCCTCGGATTGGCCAGGCTGCCCGGGACACTCTTCGGTGCCAAGGCCCCTGGGAGCAGCACAGAGGACTTGGGCCTCAAGAGTTCCATTTTGTGCATGCATCAGGACAGGTGGTGGGAGTGTGATGCCGTCCACACAAAATGCAGTGATCTCATCAACATGGCAGCTACTTAGCCAAGTGGGAGGGTGAATGGAAGAACGATGGTTACAGGGGTGAGGTGACAGCTTATGTTGGTGACATAACCTCCTCTCACCCATGACAGGGATGTTCAGGCAAGGCCCTGACTCTGGCTGAGCTCAACAACTATGATGCTTCCTTAGTCACCTCCAGGTTCATTTTGACTCAAGACTCCTTCCTAGTGAAACTACGTATCCTATCCCATACTGCCTTAGCTCCGGAAGGCCAGAGAAAAAGCCAACGATCACAAGTGACAAATCTCAAGGGACTCTGGGAAGCAACTGATGGGAGAACCCAGGAAGTTTCCTGGAGAAATACAAATTTAAAAACCATTTTAAAAATAAATATGGGGCGCCTGGGT